GGGTCAGTCCTCCCTCCAGTGTAGGGTCAGCCCTCCCTCCAGTGTAGGGTCAGCCCTCCCTCCAGTGTAGGGTCAGCCGTCCCTCCAGTGCCCCAGATGCATTTTGGGCCATTAAGCGTCTTGCTCAAGACCCCAGTAGCCATGTGGTTTTCCAGTTGAAGATGGGACTTGGATTCACAACCATTGAAGTACATGTACAGAGGCTCAACTGAGCGAGCCACACAGGTCCATATGAGTTCTTGACATGTAACTAAAAGCAAGGTACAGGTGAAATGTGACTTTTATTTTGTGGGGGCTTTTATCCAAAGCGACGCACAATTGAAAAAACAGAGTGAGAGCAGTTCCCTAGTTACCAGCCCCAGTGTGACCCCTCCCTGATGGAAAAAAAATCAGTGTGTCTGTGTGGGGGGAATCTCCATAGCTGAAAGATTTGGGGGTGTCTTTGTTTGGGATTCACACCCATACCCCCCCACCATGCCTTTGAGCTCCGTGTGAGGCACTCCCAAGAAAAGCTGCAATCGCACAGGGGGGGTTCAGCTGGCTTAGACACTGTGCCTGTGATCAGAAGTACTAGTTTAAGCCTCAGCCGAACAGTCACATGTCCGTGGGCCCTTGAGCAAGGCCTTTAACCCCCGCCCCCCCCAGGTCCATGGCTGCTGCACATTGGCTGACCCTGTGCTGTAACCCCCCCCAAGCTCTGGAGAGCAAGATGGGGTTGGCACAGAGAAGCATTCCAATGTGCTTCTGCAAATTTATGATCAGTTGGGTGTTGAAGGCCTTCTGATCACAGACACAGCGTTCAAACCTGCTCAGCTGCTCAGACCAATTTATCATCAAGCTGAACATGACGGATGACAAAACACCTTTTGTTTCAAACTCTGTGCAGACTGTTTGAAAGGGCAGGATTTATTAAAATATTTTTTGGGATATTAATTCGCAACCATGATAGACTTCACACTTTCCTTTTGACTACATATTATCAAAATTAAAATTATTGCCCAGATTAAACTATCCATCCATCCATCCATTTTCTGAAACCGCTTATCCTATTCATGGCTGCGGGGGGTCCAGAGCCTATGGGCACAAGGCAGGGAACAACCCAGGATGGGGCACCAACC